AGAAACGAACAGGTTTAATCGATTGTTTAATTTTTCTCAAATATAGATTTGCGAATGTCGATTGTTTCCAGTCTGTAATGTTTTAATGTTTCTAGGTAATTTGTTTTTCAATTTGCAATACTGTTGTCTATAAATTTGTCAGATGTCGATGACGTAATGTATTTTAATCATCTGCTAATTGCTGAAGGCCCGTTTTACTACATTTTACAAGTAGGGCATATTATTTGAAAGACTTCTGTCACATCTAACTTGTGTAGTAGATTTATATTGAAACATACCTAAAAATATAATCTTATTTAGGAATTGTAAAATTACATTATGATGTTCATAATGTTATTTACTAACAATATTATTAATGCTCACATCGCTTCATTAATCGTATTTTTTTGCACAGTACATTAAGGCCTCGTTCTGTGCTGTGACTTTTGTCTGTATTGAAGTATTCGGTTTGGTGGCAATGCTTTTAATAGACGAGAAACGAACAGGTTTAATCGATTGTTTAACTTTTCTCAAAATATAGATTTGCGAATGTCGATTGTTTCAAGTCTGTAATGTGTCATTGTTTCTAGATATTTTTGACGTAAACATACAAATTGTTTTCCATTTATTTGTCAGATGTCGATGACGTAATGTATTGTAATCATCTGCGAATTGTTGAATGAACGTTTTACTATATTTTACAAGTAGGGCATGTTATTTAAATGACTTCTGTCACATCTATCTTGTGTAGTAGATTTATATTGAAACATACCTAAAAATATAATCTTATTTAGGAATTGTAAAATTACATTATGATGTTCATGATGTTATTTATTAACAATTTTATTAAAGCTCATATCGCTTCTTTAATCGCATTTTTTTGCACAGTACATTATGGCCTAGTTCAAGTGCTGTGACTTTCGTCTGTATTGAAGTATGCGGTAGGGCGGCAATGCTTTTAATAGATGAGAGACTTCTAACTTTTCTCAAAATATAGATTTGCGAATGTCGATTGTTTCAAGTCTGTAATGTGTCATTGTTTCTAGATATTTTCGACGTAAACATACAAATTGTTTTCCATTAATTTGTCAGATGTCGATGACGTAATGTATTTTAATCATCTGCTAATTGCTGAATGCCCGTTTTACTATATTTTTACAAGTAGGGCATATTATTTAAATGACTTCTGTCACATCTATCTTGTGTAGTAGATTTATATTGAAACATACCTAACAATATAATCTTTTTTAGGAATTGTTAAATTACCTAACAATGTTCGTGATGTTATTTACTAACAATTTTATTAATGCTCACATCGCTTCATTAATCGTATTTTTTTGCACAGTACATTTTGGCCTCGTTCAAGTGCTGTGACTTTCGTCTGTATTAGAGTATGCGGTAGGGCGGCAATGCTTGTAATAGACGAGAAACGAACAGGGTTAATCGATTGTTTAACTTTTCTCAAATTATAGATTTGCGAATGTCGATTGTTTCCAGTCTGTAATGTTTTAATGTTTCTAGGTAATTTGTTTTTCAATTTGCAATACTGTTGTCTATAAATTTGTCAGATGTCGATGACGTAATGTATTTTAATCATCTACTAATTGCTGAAGGCCCGTTTTACTACATTTTACAAGTAGGGCATATTATTTAAAAGACTTCTGTCACATCTAACCTGTGTAGTAGATTTATATTGAAATATACCTAACAATATAATCTTTTTTAGGAATTGTAAAATTACATTATGATGTTCATGATGTTATTTATTAACAATTTTATTAAAGCTCATATCGCTTCTTTAATCGCATTTTTTTGCACAGTACATTATGGCCTAGTTCAAGTGCTGTGACTTTCGTCTGTATTAGAGTATGCGGTAGGGCGGCAATGCTTGTAATAGACGAGAAACGAACAGGGTTAATCGATTGTTTAACTTTTCTCAAATTATAGATTTGCGAATTTCAATTGTTTCCAGTCTGTAATGTTTCATGGTTTCTAGAGAATTCTCTATCAACATACAGTACTGCTTTCTATGAATTTGTCAGATGTCGATGACGTAATGTATT